GAGCTTGGATCTTACGTCTTGGTTCCTTTTTGGGGGCGATTGAGATCTGCGCCTTATCCACTTCTGATCTAGGGGTAACACTGGCAGCCAGTGTCCCCAAGATCTCATCCTCTCCTTTGACACACTTGGTGATCTCAAGTGTCCAAGGCGACAGCAGAGCCGCCCATTGTCCTAAACGTCCTTGTAAGGCCGTGGATCTGAAGAGCCACGCCAATGTTGAATGTCGGGTTAACACGCGGATCGGACGTCCGACCTACGTATTGTAATTGAGATCCAGGATCCTCAGAAGGGCTAGTACCTCCTTCTCCGCGATGCTAATTTAGCTCGTTTGACTTCAGAGTACGGCTTGCAAACGTCACGGGGTAGTAGATCTGGTCGTACTCTTGCATCAATGCTCCCGAGATGGCCCAATCGCTGGCGTACACCACCACTGTGGCCTTCCGATCTGGGTCGAAGTGTCGTAAGATCGGAGTTGTAGCGATCCTGGTTTTAAGCACGTTGAAGGACCGATGAGCATGGATCCAACGCGGATTCACCTCAATAGGGTCAGGCGTCTCCAGATCCAAGTTCCTTCGGTGGTCGACACCCCGATCTTCCTGCGATCCTTGATCTGCATTCTCCGCCCCCAGTACTTGTCGGATCCGCGCTTGGGTGGCCTTCTGTGCCATCGCCGCAAAGTCGATTTCTCGCAATTCATACAGAACTGGCGCGTAGATCGCGTAGTCTTCAATAAATCGGCTATAATAGTTCAGACTTCCCAGAAATGATTGCATAGCTCGAAGTGATCCAGGGAATGCTAGATCCGTCAATGACGACAGATCTTTAGGATTCGCCTCCAGCCCATTGTGTGAGACCTTATGGCCCAAGTATTCGACCTTGGGCATTCCCCAGAAACGTTTGACTACGCTATTCGACAGGTTCCATTTATCGCACGCTTCGAGTAAACCTTCGACTCGATCACATAGTTGATCCCAGTTGTTGGCGGGGATCAGGATGTCATCGATATATG